CCAAATGTCTTGTTGCTGCACGGTGTAGTTTTTATCGGTGTTCCTTGAAGGCCCAGAGCATGTTGTACATGTACATGTAGGACACACATGTGATATTCTTTACCTTCAGGGTGAAATTCCAGTCAGACATCAGGCATTTTCCAACCGTTTTCCTTATTTGACAAAACCATGGAACTGCGTGCCTGTAACATACACGTACATGTACGTGCATTTTAATGTTTTGGGCCAAATTGTGCCAAAATGACCTCGTTGTGCATAGTGTACTCTCTCTGGTATCACCTAACCATGCATCACCATATGAGTTTCTCATTTGCAGTCTCATTGGGACCCGTGGTTTCTCAGCATTTCTTTCATATTTATCTCTCTGGTATAATTGCACCGGTAACTTGTTGGCATACGTTCATGGACTCTCACTGGCCGTGAAAAATGTGCACACAAGTTTTGAATTGAGATCGAGTTTGCGTATTGTTCAGTTTAGATGACATTGTACATTTATGCATGCGCCATGAACTGTCTGACACAAAGAAAATAGACGTCTGCATTTCACATCTCGGTGAGCATTTATACCAAGTGCAACATGATCCTGCCATTTCTCTCTCAGCACCTGAAAGTCTTGTGACTGTGAGGCTGCACAGTAAGTGTACCTGGTACACAAAGGGTACCTAACATGTGCATATCACATATAAAATACATTGTAGATTTTGGATTTATCGGTGGGGGATGGCCTGACCAATCCGATTTATTGGGACAAAAATCCTGTATTTCCTTTCGTGAAATACAAGTACATGTACATCCAGAAGTGAACTGTACAGGGAAATATACGGTATGAACAATTCATTTAGGCCGTTTCCGAAACAGGCTTCCAGAGCTACAGCTAGGTCTATTGTCTGCGCATCTCCACGCATTTCCAATGGAGTGAAGACCTAGGCCTAGCTCTAGACAAGCGATTCGGATGCAGCCTTAGCCTCAGTCCAAATTAGGGTTGTATGTTGTTACACGTACATGTACATGTACCTTATACCATACACATATACATGTACATGTACATACATAGTATATGTGTCCGTACATTGTACATGTACTGTACCCCATTGGAATATCCTGAATTGTCAGGACTGTAATTACTGGTATACAGTTCTGCACACACTGCATGGTACGCCTAAGCTCTGCACTTGAACTCTAGCCCTAATAATTCACTTGCCATGTGTCACTTCAATGGGTCCCATAATATATTACAGAGATGTGTGGTCTGTAAGATTTATAGTGTCCAAGACGCACCCCTTTAACCCTTTAAAAGAATACCATCTTGCATGCATATTGCACACATGAGAAAAGACAGGTGCTCATGTCAGTGCACTGTTCTCATGATGTGCATTTGTTAAATTCAACCGCAACTTACATCATCCATATTCATACTTCTAGTCATGTACATGTACATGTATGTACAGTAGTTCATGGTTCAGTACAGTGCATGAAATTAATGTATACATGTACAACTAGGCCTATGTACATGTACATGTATGCCTAGTGCTGACAGATGGCACGTGTAGGAGTACATGTACATGTACATGTATGTAATCTGCCAGTATAATATATGTGTTTATATATATATGGTGATTCATTCAGTGAAAATTCCTTTTGTTTTCTTTTTCTATTACCAAACACATGCACATTGAATGCACGTTTATAAGTTATCAGCCGAGGCACTGAGAAACACTCACGTTGTACACTGTACCACATACCGGTAGTCGGAAAGGACTTTTTACCGATCAGCCATGTCGTTCATGTACATGTACATGTATGCAGTTTAATGTTACAAACAGTAAACTGTTTTTATGTTTTTATTATTAGTGCTGTTTTTAGCACAGTTGACATTTACAAATAATTACAATTGAAGTCATGATGTCAGTGTAATAGTCTGACGTGTGAATGCACTACACACCTATACATACATGTATGTGCTAGTATACCACCTGCATGTCTGAAAATGGATTGCTTTTTTTACGTTGGGTGTGACCAAATGAGGATCCGTGCATCATGTGAATTAATTAATATACAGTATGTACGGCATGTACCGTACATGAACATGCAGATCTACATGTACTTGTACATACATGTACAGTACCTATACATGTACTGTTATTAAGTTTTTTCAGGATGGTTCTGCCATTGAGGCCATTCTTTTCAGTGGTTTTTCATTTGCCCGTATCTGTTGAGTGT